GGATGGAGGAAACCAAGCCGTTTTGGGTTTCTGCCTGGACTGCCCCATGACCAAGAAGGTGGACGAGCCAGCCGAGCCTTTCCTCAGCTGTGGCTCTCAGCGTGACTTTCCCTGGTGAAGTTTCTGGTGATCAGTGTTTGCGGTGCCAAGGTTGAAACATTTCTTTCAGTGGGGGAAATACCAGTGCTTGTGCATTTTGAAACTGCTATTCCCTGTACAAAACCTAAACAGTAGTCAATGGGCTAAAAAGCTGGACTAACTGTACACCTGGTTTGGAAATACACTTATTTAAATGCTGTCACCCAGGAAGACCTGAAAACAGCAAAATGCATGCCGCAATGTTTCAGATTTGACAACATCCTCCAGCAGCCAGAGCTGGTGGTGCTGGTTTTGTTTGGTTGTTTGGGTTTTTTAACCCTCCCGCAGATAAAATTCTAATTTCTTCTTCCTGGAGGTGTTATAAGAATGATAAAAGCACAGATCAAACAGAATTTTAATAGAATTTTAGATGCTTTGGGCCAGAAGTTCAGTTTTACAATTTAATGATCCAAACTTGCAGTTCTGAGCCTGCCAGGTTCAACCACCACAAGCTCTCAGACGGGACCTGTATCTGAGCAGAGACTGCTGCACAGCTGAGCAAGGCTTCCTCTTTCCAGACCACAAAATACAGAAGTAACACCAGTTCCCTCACACCCTCAAGGATAATTAGGTGCGGAAGCAACAAGGATATCGGCTATTGGGTGCTTCACGTCCACTCTGCCTTTCGCAGGAGCGCGTATGTGTAACTAAACTCTGCTGAACTATATAAATTATAATCAGAAAAGAACATACAGCAAATTGCACCATTGCCCTTCGCTTCTTGCTGCTTACAAAGGTAACGTGCATTTTAACGTATGAATTTTAAAAAGTGACTTGCCAACACACTGGTTCCACTGGTAATGCTGGAGGTATCCTTGTGGGCAGCTACACCTGTATCCTCCAATGATATTTTGGCAGCCATGCTGACACCGGTGGTTTCCATCACATTCATCAACGTCTAAAAAGGTGAGACACATTCTGAGTTTTGGGAGAGAAGCTCAAATTAAGCATGTTACAAACAATCATATGTATTCACACATCATATATGTAGAGGTATATCTCAGAATCTTCCAAAAACCTGACCAGCACTGGGAGACCACTTAGAGCCTTTCAGGTTTGGATTTCTGGCTCCACAGCAAGTAACTTAGGGCTGAAAACCACTGGAAGTGCAAATTCAGCCACAATTTTCAGTCTTTGCATTCTGCTATGGAGCAGAGAGCAGAAAGGCATTCGTATATGGGGCCCCTCAGGCTTTCTCAAGGCTCCCAGTTCCACAGCAGTCCCTTGCTTTTACCCAAGGATTCAAGCCAGGAAATCTCTTTTAAAAGCAAACCAAACTCCATCCCAGGAGAAGGCTCGAGGGACCCAGAGGAATAAAGTCTGCAGCCCCTGAACTCTCTCTTCAGCAGGTCATCTTGGAGATGCAAGACTTCCTGTCCTCGGAGAGCCCCTCAGACTCCATGCAGGATTCAACAGAAGTTCACTGAACTCGCAATGCTTAAACTAAAACATTCCAGACTAAACTGAAGTCTCCTCAGAAAATATCTACCCAGCTTTTTAGCATCCTGCATACATCCATTTATTCAGGCCCATGGAGAGAAATATTGCCTTGTTGTTAAACTTCTATACCTTGCCCTCCTTCAGTCTACACGTGTTTACTCCGTAGGTCCCTCCTTGCATGACAGAATGGCTGAGAGAAGAGGAAGGAAAGCAAGAGAAGCCAGATCAAATGCACAGTGTGGTACCGACCTTCACAGCTAAGCCCAGTTTGGTCGAGTGAGAAGCCACGCTGACACTCACAAACAAAGCTTCCTGGTGTGTTCTGGCAAATGCCCTTCGCCCCACATAGATTGATTTCGGTAGCACATTCATTATTATCTGAAGGGAACCAAAGACCGAGTGTTACTTTTTCATTCCTTGTTGTGCAGGTGATCATGTGGCAATGCTGACAATGAACAGGTTGTGACAAGAGGTGAAGACACATCAGTAACGTAGCTGTCTTCCTGCCCTCTCCATTTCTCACTCTGCACTACAGGAAAGCTGACATTACCTCCTTTTTCACTGAAAACACTGACAACAGCTATGGGAAGGGAAACACTCCTTTTCTTCACCGAGAATACGGAGTTTGACGTTCTAACCTTCAAGCACCCTCAAATTCACAGCAGTACCACAGGATCATCAGACTGCCACAAGCAGGATCCAACTTGCAGAGCAGAAAGCGCGTTTTGCAGGAAATAGTTTTGTTTGATATTGCCACAGACATAATGGGTACGTGCTCAAAGGACAACTGCAGAACTGTGTTTCATGCTTATTGGTTAAAGAAGCCTTGACATGGTCTCTAATTGGGTCCCGCAATGAACTACAGGAACCAAAATATAACTGTTTATACATAGATAATATATATATATTATATATATGTAACTAGGATAAACCAAGAATTACAGATTGGTGTTTTACTATCTGAATCTTGCAAGTGCAAAATTCAAAGATACAGATTATGAAAATGAGGGGAGGTAAGAGGGAGGACTACTCTGCATCTCTGCATCTTCTGCTCTGGTGGGATCAGAGCCTGGCCTGTGATTCCATTTGGTTTCTCAGGAAGCCCATTTTACCTCCTTGCTACCTTGCTTCTGGAGTAGGAGGCAGTAATAAATCCCAAATCTGAGCCTACCTCCCCACGTCACTTACCAATGCAGGCTGTATGGTGTTGAGTGAATCCAGGAGGACATTTACAAGTGAAACCCCCAATAGTGTTGACGCAAAGGAACTGGCAGTTGTGCTGCTTTGTTGCACATTCATCAAGATCTTAAAAAACCAAGAGAACATCTTTCAGTTACGTTCCCCGTGGAGGGTCTGAAAGTTCAGCTGGACTTAGAGAGAAATGACTGCAAACAAATACCATATCAAATAAAGCCTTTAGAACCTGTGTCTCACTTCCCACGCTGGCTTCCAGTTCCTCTCACATGAAGCTCCACACATAATGAATGGGACTTTGGAGCTACACTGGTGTCCACGCTAACGCTGGATTACCCACACCACTCTCAGCTGTCTGAAAGCTGCTGCTAAATAAATGTCTGGTCTTGCTGCAGTCAATAAGTGGGAAGTCACCATCTTCATAGCAGATTGGTATTGCACTGAAACATGCTATTACTCCAAAAGAAATATTTAAATGCTAATGCCAAAGTACACTGTCATTTCCCATGCCAAGTTTAGAATCGCTGCTCTAACTTGAGCGGTTTCAATCAGATCTTTGCTACCAAGATACATAAATAAATGAAATTATAATGAACATTTCAAAATCTCTCCTGCGCTGCTGTTCCTTATTCCGCACGCTGCAGAGGTAGTATGTTAAAATTCTGTTGATGCTGGACAATGCACTGAAAACCATGCTCATCTTTACATTCATTAAGGGACATTTATCACTGAAAAACAGGGCTTAAACCAACATGCTTATCAAAATAAGACCAATCATGTACTGCTTTTGACTACTGTGTCTTTTAAGGTCAACTGCTACCAGCCTACAAAAACTCCTGTGGATCTACTGCTCCTCCAGATTATCAAAGAACAGCTCCATCCTGTGCAGGCCCCCTCCACTGTCTTTAGTGGGAATGTACACATGAATCCAGGAGAGAGATTTACATAATTTGAATGTCCTTGAATTGGTATTTGTCAGTGAAACACAGGGTTTCTGCAGTAAATTCTTTTCTTGAGTTTTACCTTTGCAGCTTCTCCCATCTTCCTGCAGGATGTACCCTTTTGGACATGAACACTGGAAGCTCCCCTCTGTGTTTTTGCAGATGAAATTGCAAGGCTTGGGGGACTCATTACATTCATTCAGATCTACAAGAAGCAAAACCAGAAACTTCAGTGCTGACAACCAAGACTTGTGACGTTGTTAAAAAATGCCCAGGAGGTATCAGAAGAAAATCAAAATCCCTAAAGCCTTCTAACGAATGTAATTTTCTTTTCTAATTTTTCAAAATCTTTGCATTTCCTTCTTCAAGTCATCTCTCAGTAACAATTCATGTACATACCCCGTAACGAAAAACCCACCTATGCAAACAGTTCCAGTTATATCTGTAGTATAGCCCAGGTTGCAGTGACAACGGTAAGATCCCCTCTCGTTAATGCATTCCCCATTACGGCACACGTCGTGAATGACCTTGCACTCGTCAATATCTGCAATTAAATGAGGGTCAAATCAGAAGGGAAGAACAAGAACTGATTTTATACAGCCTTAATAGATTCTTGTAACCTGACATGAAAAAACCCCACACCCTACATAAAATTAAAAATTACATAAAATAATGAAATATTGCACAGATTAAGGAGAAATATTAAGTGGAGAAACACGGAATGGAGCATTAATCTTACTTCCAAATGCAATGAAGAAGCCTTAAGTGGAAGCAAAGGACCAGAACTGATCACATATTAGCCTCCATAATTAAACACTGCTTTGCTTTCACGTACACAAACAGCTCTCAATCTGTACCTACAACACATTCAAACGTGAGTGCAAATTCCCATCCGTGTGCATGTCAGTCAACCAGCATGCAAAACAAGTATCTGCCAGGCTGGGATGGATACGTTCGTCTGTGCACCTTCCTCCCAAAGCACTGTGCTTTCTCAACACGACAACTCTCAGAAAACTTCGACTGATATCCAAAATACTTAGGACCCCTCAGTGTTCAAATATGCAAAAAGGAAGTTTATAATTTATTGCTGAGTTTAACACTGTGTAAAAGGGTCTCTAACAGAAAAGTCAGTACCTGCCCCATTAGACATGTATCCTCGGCCGTGAGGGCAAAGCTTCTTGAAGGCCACGGTGCCTGGGAAGGGGCAGACCTCGCAGTTTTGCCCCCAGCCTCGGCCACCATCGCAGCAGCATTCAGACTTGGTGACAGAGTTCCTGTTGCTTGATCCGATTTGACACATACTTTGTAAGACTTCAGTGAAGCAGTAGCCCTCCCTGTTGTCTGGAAGATAAATTATGCATCACAAGAGAATCCTAATGGTGACGACCTTCAGAGGGTCAGGAGATATTAGGAATTTAGTCAGAAATATAAAAGAAAGGGCATACTTCACCCTGGGACTGTGGAACTGAGAGTGAAAGACTACCAGCAGTAAGAAAGAGAGCACAACATCTAAGAGAAACAAAGAAGACAGGAAATTTAGCGAAAGGTAGAGGGCAAGTTACATTATGCTTATAAAAATATATGTTTCTGTTTGAACCCAGAGAAAAAGGACTGGCTGACAATCAGGATGAAAGAAAGGGCAATTTGCGACTGATGGAAACCACCAAGCAGCCAGCTGCCACGGCAAGTCAGCCCAACCGGACCGACTGAAGCAGGGATACGGCTAGCACGGGAAGAGTGAACTTGCAGGAGGGCACCCACTTACAAAGGTCCCATGTAAACTCAAGAGCATATTTACTCACTATTACATTTCTAGGTTTAAGTTCAACCACAGTTTCTGCTATCAAGGTGATGGTTCATTAGGGTGCTCATTAGACTTACCCAGGCACTCGTTCTGAGTGTCACTGACAGTGAATCCCTCGTTGCACTCACATCTGTAACTTCCCACTGTGTTTACACAACGGCCGTTCTCACAGATCCCAGGTTTGGTCTGACACTCATTCTCATCTGTGTTTTTGGAATTACAAACAAAAAATCAAGTCCATTACTGGACTGATGCAGGTTAGAGAAGTTTGCATGGACTCCTCAAGCTGTGCATTCTACCTGGTTAAACTGGGTAATTTTTTAAATAAGACCCTTTCACTCGATTTTCAGAGAAAGACGACCATCTAGCTCACAGTATTACATACTTTGTTACGACGTCTTCTCTGCAACATATTCCTCACTACTTTTCAAAGTTTTCCATAGTTACAGCTGCACTTCTGAATGCCATGCAAAGTTCAACACAATCCAGACCTCCTCTCATTCATGTTAACAGATGAACAAGCTTACAGCAATGGGACCAGTGGATCCATTGCACAGGTAGTTGTGTAATTCTTCCCCCGAGCTCCTTAACATTTTGTTAAATCCAAAATTTTCAGCTCTGTTGAGGAACTGCGTGTTTCAAGAGCTTCAGCACTTCAGCGTCACTTACCTATACAGCCCTCTCCATCTGGTCTGCGCTGATAGCCTGGTCCACAGATACACATATAGGTGCCAATTAGGTTTTTGCATTCCATCTGTTTTGAGTCACAGTCGTGAATTCCTTCTTCACACTCATTCTGATCTGAAACACAAGGGTTAGACTTCATTATATAGAGACATGATCCTGGAAATTCACGACAGTAAATTCTGACTTTGGAAGTGCATTTGCAATCAAAATCTATGTATAGTTTATTGTGCTAAACCAACCGTAAGATACGCTATCCTAGAACAAACTGATTTCTCTCAAATGCCCATTTTCAGGGCAAGACAAAACTGTATCATCTGATACGACCTCACTTTATGCAGATGTGTAACTTCACAGCCAGGACAGGGCTAATACAACCAACTGCATAATGCAAACCATAAAACTTCATCCCAAATTCTTTCTGACTCAGTTACTTCCTGGGATTAAAACAATGTCCCCATAGTGCAGTGAGTCAGAGCCCTACTCCTGCAGGAACTTGCAATTATTATCTCCTAACTGTGAGAGTCGTAGGGGCTTTACCTCTGCACATTCTCCGGTCCTCTCGCAGAACGTACCCCGCAGGGCACTTGCACTCGTAGGATCCAAAAGTGTTCACGCAGCGGAAAGCGCAGAGCAGAGGGTTCTGAATGCACTCGTTGACATCTGGATTTGGAGTGACAAAGACCATGGGGGAAGTGAAACACGATTTTGTGAAACTCGGCAGACTTCAGTGCATAGGATTTAAGTACAGGTAATACCACATACCCTAGTTTACCAAGGGCTACATTTTAATAGTTGGGGACCCATAGTTTTACTCAGTATGGATTTCTGCATAGGGGCAGGCACCAGACATGCCAGGATATTTGTTCAGCTACCTGAAGTTTCAATATCTTCAAGGACAAGCAATAGAAATAATTTCCAGATCCATGCTACCAAAATACCGAGTTAGAACTGTATCTTTTCCACATCTAGGCTCAGTTTTTTTGACTGGTTATTTTTAAGCTCTGGATGCACCTACTCAGCTTCTTTGTACACTGAATTCCATAAAACAATATCCTTACTAGAAACACGATTTTGAAGTGCATTTACACATGCCCTGGGCTACTCAAGTAATTACAGCTACCTAATGGTATTTATCCACTCTGCCACCTCCTTTTCTGTCATTTGAGGTGTCACCCAAATTCCACAGGGAAGTGAATGAAGCTCTACGTGTATATAAAAAACTAAGGCAAGCTGATACAAACAGAGAAGCATTCTTTTGTTTGGGCTTGCAAACAAATAGATTGTGGCAGATAATTTAAGAACAGCTGTGTCAGGTCAGAAGAGAGTGTCAGAATGTCCCAGGACATCCTCCTCTCTGGTGGTAACAGGAGAAGATGAGTACTCAAAACACCACACCAAGCACGCGGAGATCTTTCCCCTGATACATCCTCCCAGTTTAAGGGCTTCCACAGCCAAAAGCCACAACCAAACTCTCAGGCTTAATTTCCACAGATGGATTCCCACATAAACTTGTACAGACTCTTTCCAGGTCAATTTATACTTGTGGCCTCACTAATATCCTGCAGCAGAAAGTTCCACAACTGAAGAAAGTACTGTGCATATAAAACATTTGCTTTTGCTTGTCTAACATGTTCCCTCTATTTTTGGTACCTTTACCACTTGTGGCTTTATAAATTTAAATCATCTATCTCTTCACATTCTCCACACTGAAAAATCCTACTCTAATTTTCATCATCCACAGCAACTCTCTTCTCTCAAGTGTAGTCTAGGAGGTAAGCCAGAACCATTCACGCAATAAGGAGCATTCCTGGAGGCTGTTCTGGAGAGACCATACCCCAACATGCTCCCCTCTGGGCAGTAGCACAACTGATATTACCTGAAAGCCTGTTCATCCAACCTCAAGTTAGAAAAGAAAAGGTACCACGGTTCAAGGTGGATACAGGAAGGAGGATCTTGTTTTTCTGTTTCAGATAAAGACACGTTGTTCCAAACATCCACATTTTTCTTTTCAAGCTGCTTTACTCTCCTCAATTGTTTCCAATATCAGGAAGCTGTTTCAGCACACGACTACAGTGACAGTCCTTAACACATGGGAGTCTCACCTTCACAGGTCATCATCGGTCCAGGCTCAAATCCATCAACGCAGGTGCATTCAAAACCTCCCACCACGTTCCTGCAAGTCCCATTTCCACACGGATTCCCAACAGCACATTCATCAGTATCTGCAAGCAGTTAAGTCAAGGCAAGAGTACGTGGTTATACTCAACCAAAGAGGTGTAAAATCTATGTCACTGATGTACAACCAAAAAACCTCCCAAAACACAAAATCCAAGCACTCGTGTGAGTTACTGAATTAGAGTCACAAACTCCTAGCATGATCTGGGGTTGCTAGAGGTTATCTGAGCCAAACACTCAGCCAGAGCAGAAGCAACTTGGAGCAGATTGCTCAGGCCCCGCTTCAAGCACCAATGGGGATGGAGGCTCCACAACATAAGAATAATATAACCCCACTGCTCCTCAATGCCATACTTACAATGGAAGATAGAACAGCTGTACTTACCCACACATTCAGCTCCATGTAGGATGTAACCATATGGACACTCACAGCGGAAAGACCCATCTGTGTTGATACACTGCCCAAATTTGCAGTTATCTGGATCAAGGCACTCATCCACATCTTAACCAGAAATACAAACAACACAGTAAGTGCAATTGGCTTAATGTGCTTTTAGACTTCTCTCAAAGAACAAGTGTTGTTCTGGAGAGAAATATTCCTGAAATCACAAAAAATACTAATATTTGAGTTTTGCTATATTAGGATGAGGGCACAGAATTTGTCTTGCAGGCCAGCTTTCAGAATGTAGAAGAGAAACTGGTTCTAAATGTCAGATAAAAAAACCTCTCCAACTGGGGCTACGGAGAGAGGAGTAAATATGAAAAGCAGTAGTCATCCAGCACTCCTTAAATGGAAACTTTTGCCAAGAAGGCCAAAGTGCTGTTTGTTTTGGGAGAGAACAGAATGTACTGAAGGGATCTGGGAAAGTGTGGCTTGCACTTCTGGAGGATTAAAACCATTTACTGTAAACAGGCTACATATATTGTACAAGACAAGACAGGTATGCTATACGATCCATTCTCTAGATCCCACACTTAAAAAGCCAAATATGCTACTCTAAAAGAAGTTTAACTTCTGATATATGAGATATTCAAGCTTGAATTTGAAATTGGTACAAATAATTGAAAAAAATGTATAGAAGTTTCCACACTTCATGGCTTGTGAAAACAGCTGCAGAGGTGTTATGCTCAATTGAAAGGGAAAACGGCCTGTGGGTGGAATATGGCAAAATGATGCCACAACAGCACTGTGCAGTTCAGGTACTTACCCAGTCTTGCATCTCCAGGTCCAACAAGGATGCCAATTCCAAACGGACAAATCTGTCTGAATGCCTCTGTTAAAACAAAAATAAAATCAAGCCATGTGTTAAATTCTACCTTGGTGATCAGCATCACCCATGAGCTACACAAGTAAGCACTGATACCAATTCACCCTTCTCATGTCAGGTCCAGAAATACAGTATGTAAATGCATAAACTTGTAATTTAGTCTTACATCCATGTAAAAACTGTATGCTTGTTTTACATTTCATCTGATCTCTCGTATGTGTATGTGTAACATCCTGTGAGTAATTCGCACTACCTAACCTCCTTTAAGGAGCAAACTAATGCAGTATTTCCATCTCAGAAGTATCCATACTGGTGACTGCATTATTTTCAGTTGTAAATGAAAGACCTCCTACATTTTCAGAAGACACAATTTAACCTGTAGCCACCAGTAAGTAGCTCCGTAAAGCACGTCAATCTCTACTTGTAGAGCAAGTAGTAACTCTATTGTAGGTAGGCTGAGAAACAACTCCACTGACCATGACTTGCCAAGACATGGTTTTCCCAGACTCTGATTATCTAAAAGCTGCTTCTTTTTTAAAAGATGACCAAAATGGCCTTGATACCATCCTTTGAGGACAGTTTGGACTGTGAAAAACGTATGTGCTGACACTTCAAGGAAATGCTGAGATGTATACCATGCTTTTCTAACTGACTTTGGTTCAAATGCTCCAGGAATGAAACATGCACAGGCAATAAGCCTAGGAGGAAGGTTGCAGCTGACACATCTGATTTGCTTTTCTTCCCTTGGCTTTTGTGGGAATTGTCTGCAAAACATCTGCATGACTTATTAATGAAATCAACTGTATTAATGTATTGCTGAAACCAGTAACGCCGTTAACCACATTTGTCAGCATGAACGTTCAGCTCATTCAAGCTCATGCTTGATGCCTGGTTACTCAGTCTTACAAAGGATACTAACAGAGGAAAGTTTCTTTAGCAGCGGTCCAGGGGGGCTTCCCTTCATCCAGGCCTGTGTTTTGTCACTCCCTGTTACTTTTGCAAGTCATTCGTCTTGACAAATCTACATTTTTTTTAATAACAAAATGCAGTCACAAAATGTAACAGGGCGATTCAGACGTAGACCTAGTTTGAATGTTTTTGTTTGTTTGTTTTAAATTAGATTTCACGTTTATGGTGCCCCTTCCTATACCTATTCACAGTTAGATTAATTCCATTTGTGTCTACAAGGTATTTCCTCTCAGAGCCCATCAAGGACCACGTGACAGCTCCAGAGCAAAATACTCAGCACCTAAAGATAGTAACAAACCCATAAGCAAACAAAGAATACGCTTGAGACTGGACAATGCAAGAAATAGGTGCTTTTGAGACTGCAGTGGCATCTGCTTTACAGAGAGCAATGAAAATTGTTAGGGTTAAACACCTCTGGAAAGTTATTTTTCCTAATTCCTTCTTATAAGAATCCCAATCTTCCTTCAGTCCCGAGCTGTTATCGTGACAGCAAGGTAACCTTGCCATTAACGCACCATCTGCTTCCTCTGGGCAGAGCTCACAGGGATCTCCCCATCCCTGTCCCTTCAGGGCGCAGCAGCACTCTTGTTTGGAGTGGTTCCGGGACTTGGGCACAGAGCATTTTCCATCTTCAAATTTGGTAAAGCAGTAGCTTACTCTCAGATCTGCATAGAGAAAAATGTGTTATAAGCAGTTAGGATGACTTTGGCACAGTTTCCACTCAGAGGTGTTAATTGCAAAATTCTCTTCATAACAACTGAATATTGACTTAATTTATCTCTATACCATTATGAGTAAGATTCACTTGAGTCAAGAGATTTTAATCAACTTGCAGTGATAATACTGTGTACTGTTAAAATGAGAAGCGATTTTAAATAGCACTTTCCTTCCTCGTTCTTCCCTGAGGTACACACAAAGAAAACTGCCCTGGTGGCACTACATTTGATTCCCTTAAGCTGGGTAACCGGGATGCTGGAGCGGAGCTGAGCTCGCAGGCCACAAGCACTCAGCAAGCAGAGCTGGCAGCTCCCTGCACTGGCACGGGGAAGCAAGGGGGCAGCTGTGGAGGCAGGTGCTCATCCAGTTTTCCATCTGCAGCATTAATGCTGGGCAACGTCCAGATTTTACAAAAGTCCTAGGTAATAGGAAGTTCTAAATAAAACTTCGTTTGACCTGAGATACTTGAAATAAACCAGGCTTCTCCAAGGGATGGGGAGAAACCCACTTAGAAGTTCATACACACAGGTGTGCCCTTTCCTCAGACGTGTGTGAAACAGTGGTCTGTTTAATAAAGGAGATTAGGCTGCATTCTTTTTTATGATGTTGGGGTATTTTTTTTTCTTTTCTTTACCTGAAAAGAGCACCACCCTCAGACTGAAGACACCTAATTTATACAAGCTACAAAAGCACAGCTACAACAGTCATGCTGCTTTCTTGAAGTTGAGTGAAGTTAACTGTGCCAAACTGCATGGTGGTTTGGAGACTTGGATGAATGTTTACTGCAGGTTGGATTCATTTTTACCAAAACCACAGTTTCATTTAGCCTACTGTGAAGTGAAGAACTCACTATGCTGTCAACAAGCATCACTGTTCTGTGCCAAGCATAACTACAGAGGTCCTTATAAAGGTCTTACTCACTGCTGGTTCCCACTGTGCACATTGCACATAGGATGTTTAATGATGTATCTGTTTAATAATTTCCAAAATCTTTAAAATAACTCACTCCCCAATTTGCTGTGCTTATTCTTTATCCACAAAATAAACTAACCTGTGGGTTTTCATTGCAAGATATTCAGCTTTTAGCATCTGATCTCTGCCTCTGTGCCCATGTTTAGGCTCTGAACAGTGCATGAGGTAATTCAGAAGCCAAAAGATGCTTCAGACTTTTCTAAGCAGATAGGTGCTTATTGCCCACACAACAATGTTGGCAAATTTTTTCCATCGATCTTTTTTCCACCCACACATTTGTGGAGAGGAACAGCACGTAACAAGTGTTGTGGAGAATCTGGTAAGTGCTAACAACAGCCTTATTCCTGGAAACGCTGCCTTTAGCACTGCATTGCAGCAGCCTCCTGTCTGTGTTCGTGCTTCGTCTCTGTGTCAGACATACCCCTGGTCTATACAGAGTGCAGGTAGCCTCAACATTTCTTTCAGAGGTGCAAGAAAGGGCTGCAAGGCAACATAATTCACTCACTTAACCTTAATATTTAACATTATCTTTGCCCCTTTTATTGCAGTGTTCTCTGTAACGACAAACAGATGTTAGGGCAAGACAGAACCTGGCCCTGACTACAGAATTATCATGTTTTCCTTGTGAAAAACACTGTTTGAGTCCAGAGTCTCCTTGTTATATTAGAAACAGGCAGCTAATAAAGCTTTTATAAAAGAGCAAACAAATTTTGAAATGCCAGAAAATAGGAATGAACTTACCTTGGCATCGCCTTCCTGTGGAAGACAACACAAATCCTTCTGGACACAGACATTTGAAACTGCCTGGAGTGTTGCTGCATGTGCCCAGGGCACAAATTTCTGGCTGTTCCACACACTCATCAATGTCTGCAAGGAAAGAAATTAAAGAGATTAGAAATAAAAATGCCTACATGGCAGCTGTACTACAGAAAATGTAACCTTCTATCACCACTGATATCTAACAGATTTGACAAACAGAAATAGGTCAAACAAAAAGAAACAGACAGGAGGAACAAGAAATCCAGGTGCAAAATCTAGGGTGAGTTTTCAAATCCTTGTGCAGTGGGCAAACCTCAGCAATGCACCACCAACCAAACAGCTTGGGGTTGGATTTTTCTTGGGATCAGATCAGGTAGTTCTGGTCCAAACAAAAGCTGGTGAGACTTTTTCTGGGAAGTGACTTCGTAGTGGCTACAGTTCAGAACTCTACACTGACTGAAAGACTAAACACCACTCATGTTTAGATGCGAAGTGGTAACGACTGCGAGTAGCGAGGAAAGGGACAGAAGGGCTGTTCTGTACACACCTTCACATTTGTCATTCTGCAGTACATATCCAGGAGGACAGATACATCTGAATGACCCATCCAAGTTCTGACATGTGCCCGGCGAGCACTTCCCAGGCTCCAGTGCACACTCATTTATATCTACAAGAAAAGAAAGACAATTTACTTGAGATAATTGCTCTTATTCTCAATAAATAAGTGGCTGAAGCTGCTTCAATTTTGATTCCACCAAACTGATGGTGGAACATCCCAGGAGCAGAAGAGTCCTCTTCTCGTCTTCTTGTCACTGGTTTCTTCTGCTAGGTGCATCGATGACAATGTGACAGTTCTCTCTGACCTCTTGCAGTGTTTTACTAAGGGTATCTCCTCAAGGTTTGCTGCACCTTTTTTCAACCTTAAAAGAAAGCACTCACCAACACAAGTCCTTCCATCCAGAGCCACCTCATAGCCATCGTTGCAGAGACACTGGAAGGACCCGATCGTGTTCACACACTGACCATTCCTGCAGAGCATTCCATTTCCACTTGCACACTCGTCCACATCTATGAAAAACAGCATTGAAAGACACATAAGAAACAACTGCAACAAATGAAATTGGGTAGGTGAGATTTCTGTTTCACTGTATCAGCACAGTAACTGATAATACATAAATAATCCTCTGTTTCAAAGCAAGTGAGGAGGAAATATCACTATTAGTCTATGTTGTAAAATTGTCAAAGCGAAAGTATAACAAGGAAAGGCACAAGTCACATACAAACTTTAAATGGATATAGAAAAGTGCATAACAAAAGAGGCTGAAAGACTGATTTGTCTTTAATCACACAGACCATGCAAGGCGCGATCCTAACCCGATAGTGAAGGTACTAATGGTACTTTCATTAGAAGCAGGACGTCTCAAAACAGGTAAGTGGTCTCAGCACTCCTTACCTATGCAGTCATTGTTGTGTGAGAGGATGAACCCCAAATTGCAGCGGCAGTTGAAAGAGCCAATGGTGTTTCTGCAGGTTCCGTTGCCACAGGCATCTCTCTCACACTCATTAATGTCTACAAAGGAGAAAAAACGAGTAGCGAGAGTTTTAATCACTGATGGGGAAAGGAAAGCCTGTAGCTATTCCACAAGAGAAATAACCCACTGCCAACTGAGTGAATACAAGGGAAAAAGGCTGTCCCATCTCCCAAAAAGATTTCACATAGGTTTACACACCTGATATTAACATCTACAGAAACAACAAAGAGCCCCACAATCATTTATCTTACTGTGCCTCCTAGCTAACCCTTTCCAAAGGAAATGTAAGCTATATGCAACCATAAGCATTCTGAAAAGTCCTCATCTTGCTCAGACAACAGACACTACATTAACAGCTCTGAATGGGTTAAATACAGAATTTCCTTCTTTATGAAGATAATCTTGTTTCTGAAAAGGGCACTTTTCTGGCAAGAAATCTACCCTTCACTTCCTCTGGTAACAAGTAAGCTGTATACCACTGCTGCACAGCAATATTCAACTATTAAATTTCTTGCCTAAAGGAATAAATGAGGCAAGATGCTTCAGAAAATTCTAAGAATGGAACATTTTTTTCAAAAATTAAAGCATCAGCAGTTCATTAGACAGGACACGTATTTTTAAAGGTTCGCTCTACTGCAGTGAGATGCCCTTTATTCATTATCAGCTCCTTATCATCTCTAACTGCCAGCTGTGGTGGCTTTGCACCTTTGTCTGGTGGTGAGTGGTTCACAATCTCAGTTCTCATAACGCACCTCCTTATGACAAAGGGGATAGAAAATGTCTTAATGGAAGCCTACGTACAGCTTCATTTGATTCACTTGCCTATACACATGGTTCTGTCATCGTTGGTCTTGAATCCGTTGTGACAAATGCAGTAGAAACTTCCAACAGTGTCAATACACTGACCATGGCTGCAGATATTGGGGATTTCTTGACATTCGTTCCGATCTGAAAACAAAAGAGGCACAGTGAAAATTAATGTCTCTGAATTACAGGGCTGGAAATGTGTATCAGCAGCAACCATGACAGTTTGAATCCAGTGACTGGCCCCTATTTAAAACAGTATTTTTAATTTATTAATAGACAAAAGCACTACAAAGCAAACCTCAGAAAAGGGACTATTTGCTTGTAAATTACCTTTTCCAGCATTTGTGGAGCTGAAAAAATTAGCACAATAATGATATTTACCAAACACAAATTCCTGCAGGAGGGAAAGCACATTGCCATGGCTTGGAAAAGTAGAATTTATTGACGTGAAATTGTATGGGAAGGTTTCTGAGTGCCCTGCACTGACTGCCGCAGATAAGAAAGGCACATACAAATCAGTTTGTGTCTTTCTCGTGAAAGCAACTATCACCTTTTAGGTACGTTTGATTACAGCGCAAATTGCATGATTAACTCACAGAAATCACACAAAACTGAAAGGCAGATGAAACCCACAGTTCTCTCACTAAGCTTACAGAGAGATAAAATGCACTGTATATTTATTTACTCATTATGCAGACAAAACAGGCACCCATATACATGGGTGCTGTAGCATTCACGCCTCATGCAATGTGATGATCCTGAAAACTGGACAAATCTCAGACAGCAAGAAGAGTTACTGCTGTATGGGGCTAGAAAATACCTTCCCAACAGCAGCAAACATGCATAATTCTGCAGAGACACAGGGAAAGCTACCCTGCCAGCATGTGAAATGCTGCGTAACAAGAGCAGGGCATCTATTACCCTGGTGCAACAGCCGCCTGCTGTTACAAACGCTGCCAGGCAGAACCCAGGAATTTATCAGTAGCAAGTGAGACAAAAAGTCAAAGAACAAAACGTTTGCTGTCCAGCACATTTTTTTCCATAACAAATCAGAAACGTGAATCAAACGAGGTCGTTCTGCTGACCGCATCACCAACAAGAGCTGGGCTGATTCAATGTGCTGCCTGGCCTTTTGTCTGCTGCAGCTCCAAAGTACAGGGACTGACGTGCTGCCATAAGCTTCTATCAGAACTGATCAGACATCAGACGTGCAATCGAAGCAAAGCAGATGCATTTCCTATCAAACCATCCCCAGTTCATTGCAAGAGTCAAGTTGTTCCTAATTGCAAAGAACTTCATGTACCAGATTTTTGTTTTCCTGTCTCATGTCTACACTCAGCACATGGACAATCCCGATAGCTCCCATTCCCAGGACTGCTGTACATCAAACTGGGGCCACCAGTAGCTCTGGATAGGTGTTCACTGAGGACCAATACTACTAATGATACCACTGCTAATTAAAGGAGGCAGAAGGGAAACGGGCGCTGGAGAACTCCTAATCTTCTCGGGTCAGGAGAGCGGAGACAAAAGAATAACTATGAATCTCTTTGGTGCTCTGTGGGTAAATGAATTGAGAATTAAAGTCTCAGGGAAAAGTCACTTCTTTTGGGGTAAACAGAGAACATTGTAACTCCTTAAGAATTGTCTTGAGTACCAAAAGTGAGTTTATATGAGAAATTATTTATTATCCTACAAGAGGGAGGCCCAGCAGAACGCTATTTTGACAGTAAGGTAAACGCAGTACTTGCAGTGTCAGTGGCTGTGGTACATCAGTTTTGATTCATCAGCACACAGACAACTGCGGAGTGAGCGTTTTCCATGACTGACCCAATACTGCAAGGTGCTTGGCACCCACTGCTCTCCGCAGAACAGTTGTGAATTTCCTTCCTTTGCTCGACCAAGTGCTTTATCAACCACCTTTATTTTGACTCTAATTGTGTAACATTATTTTCACTAAATATAAAATGAGAGCAAAATGCAGGGAAGTATTGCTGCTCGAGCCAACTTACACTGGGTATTGTAACCCGTATCAGAACCTTCCCTGGCTCTTCCTGTACTGCTGTAACGAACTCTTAGCAACAACAATTACATTAGGAACATATTGAATATTTACATGTGCCACCGCATAGCTTAACAAAGCAAAGTTTTAGTTCTCATAGCAGTGTTCTGGTTGCCCCTACATCCTTTTCCCTCAGGGGTCACATGAAACAATGAAAAACTGCACTGCAGGGAAAAGCACACTTCCTAAGACTCAAGCACTCAGAAGCAAATACCCAAGGAAAACGTTAGCAGTTTCCGTCGTAATTATTATTTTATTCAGAAATGTATATAATATTTACAGCTGCTTGGCTCACAGCAGCCTTTAAAATCTCTGCAATTCTTCCAGTGATCAAGATAACGTGAATGCCTCTCTAGACTACGGTATTAGAAGAAAGAGCAAATAGATTAGAGAACCACAGTCCAGCTCAGTGAGTATTTAAAAATAATGTTCAGGGGCCGGTTTAACAATAAGCTTCTAAAGTTAGTTATTGCATATGGCCTAGCAGATAAGCCCACCTTATCAGCTGGGACCCCAGCAAGCACTGGTTCATTTGTAAAAATACAAGTGGCAAATAAATTGCTAAAGCACATCGAGGAAATTGTAATGAAAACCCAAGAACTGATGCAGAGGAAGGTCTGTGTGTCAGGACTGCAACTGAATCTCCAGCGTCAGAAAACAGTCAGTCAAAAGGTAATGTATCAATTGGTCTTGCCTCCCTAGAAATGACACGGGCTAAAGAAAACCCTTTGCAGTTGGTGGCATAAAGTGGAAGACAAACACCTACACGGGTGATGAACTCATTTACGCCTCTGTGGGACGGGCCCATTACCACAGCATTTATGCAATGCCTTAGAGGGCTTTAAGAGGAGGCTTCTGGGAGCCCAGATCACCTCCTATGTACCATCTTCCTGAACAGGAGACATGCTTTTTTATATCCTTTATAACCCCTTTACATCCTTTACAGCCTACTACTTCCGCAGCCCCTCACACAAACAGGCCAGAAGTACTCACCAGTGCAGCGGCCGGTTGATGTGAACCTGTAGCCAGGTTTACAGTCACAGCGGTAGCTGCCAGCCGTGTTGACACACTCTGCGTTTTGCTGACACACCGGTCCATTTTGGCATTCATCAATATCTGCAAATACCAAACGGGAATTTGATTGTTACGGTAAGCTGGCAATAGAAAGATGTCAAAAACCACTTTGATTTTAGTGCGAAGAGTATTACCTTACCCAGACACAGGAATTTCTAATTCTGAAAAAATAAATATATTGATGAAAGTAGGTATTTGGTCACACTTGGGTGTCTCCCTGAAATGATCCCAAACCTACGTGGTCCATTTGTAAAATTCATTCCTATTTAAAGAATTGACACAATGGTTTTCTGAAGGTGCTAGAGGGCCTGTGAAAGGCCTGTCGCAACACTTCGCTTGGGTGGATTTCAGTTTTAAGACTGCGATCAGAGTAAGCTGCTATGTCTGCACAGATATCACTGCAGACTATGAGGATCTCCCTTGATCATAACACAGCATGAAGATTCCTGTTGGTTATTAGTAGCTTTCAATATAAACACCGCCACAAAATGTTAGGCAAAAAACGTTGACCAATTTTCCTTAATTCAGCTGCTGCAGAAAGAGAACTTCATTTCCCCAGAAATGTAACGGTGTTTCAGTTAAAAGCAGCATACAGAAGATGCTTTTACTTGAAGCTCTCGACACCTGACTGACCCAGCAGTAATAACCCACACCAGAGAACGACAGCAACTCATACTGCTGTCTTCAGTTCCTCCAGTAAACTGAATAATACAATGTTAGGAAATGTTTAAACTGGAAAAAAATTATCATGTGCTTGTATTATTTAGAGAAATCTTTGTTCCATTAGAAAATAGTATCTTGGAATTAAAAAGAATGTGCTTGTGATCAGACTCAAGACCATTACTCTTTTCTTGGCCTTACTGTCAAATGTGAAAAACAACGTTTCCTCCCGTGACTGCTGACTCATGCTACTTCAAGCCTTAGATGTCTGGTGGAAAATCTGGTATTTTCTATGCAAAAGAATACAAAATGTCCTAATTAACAGAGAGTTATTACGCCGATATCAGTATTTTCCCCTCATTAAGGATGATTTGCAAGTATATCAGGTCAGCCAGTGTCTGAATTGCCAGCTGGTGACATCCCATTGCTCTGACCGAGATCAGCACTCTACCTTCGCAGATCAGCAGCTTGTCGTTGTAGAAGAAACCCACAGGACACTCGCATCGGAAGCTGCCAACCATGTTTATACAGATCCCATTTTCACACACTCCAGGAATCTCTCTGCATTCATCAATATCTGCAAGAATAATTGTTTTAAATACTTGTAAACAGCACTTCACGAACCTTTCTGCAACAGAGTATGTCCTTATGCATTTATCCGTAAGAGAATTATCAAACTCACAACGTGAGCATCAGGATGTTCCCAACTGCAATAGACAGTGAGTCATTCCAAACTCTGGAAAGGCAGATATTTCCTATTTCCTCAGGCTCTGACTCTTCACGGTAGCCAAAATATATCCTGCCACATTGGAATGCAGAGGGTAGCACACGTCTTTCCTCATGTCTCCCACCCACAGCCCTGATGAACCTCCTCATCTTTCCGAGTGTTACAGTGGCATTATTGTGAAGAGCCGGAGAGAATTTAACTGTCTTTGGTGTAACACACCACGACTGAAGGCAAACACTTGTCAGAATCAGTTTTGCACTGTTTTACCCTTGTTAATCTGGAAGGACTTTCATGTTTTTATGTAACAGGTTGAAAGTGCCAACGCCAGGTAACATGTGGCTGCCAACGTGCTGTTAATTGGACTGATTAAGCCAGGCAGCCAGGGTTTGCCAATGTTCTATACACACCTTGCTTAAGTAACCGATTTTGGCAGAAAAAACCCACAAGCTGCTATTATAATTATGTGTGCCTTGTCTATGGGGTCCTTAATTTACACATTTTTAATATTCTGACAACATGAAAAAGTTCAGAGATTCCCCCAAAGCCTCTACTTTTACTAAAAATCTCCACATGTACTGATGTACATAAGACAAAGGACACGGTGGGAAATTATCAGCTAATGTTGAGTTTCCATTATTTTTTGTATTTTGTTGCTGGATCAAATCCTTTATTTCCTGTATCAGATTCTGTAACTTTGACTCCTCTGATTATACAAGGGATCAGTAAAAATAGGACTACTGCCTCTGAAACAGCCACCCGGAGTAAATGTATAGAACTTAAACACAAACAGAGGAGTAACACCATGTAATCAAATATTACAGGGCACACACAGCACTGTCCCTACAGAGTGGGAACCTCATTCCCATCTCCTGACCCTTGAGTAGGCTCAGCAACAATTTGGGCTAATGCTAATAGTTAGAAGGGGGAATTTTGCTTCTAAGAAATGACCTGGTAAATAACAAATACTGCACATTTCTGTAACTTCCTTAAAAATTACATTCCCCACTTCACTAGAAATATTTCCATCTAACTAGCTGAACACTGCACCACAGCCACAGCTTAATGCTACAGCACCTGATTACTGCCTGTATGCTGCCTGTTTGTTACAGGGCACATTTTCTGCTTCGTATTTGCATTCTGGTGTGAATAAAACCAGAAGGGAGTCCCACTAGGGATTTACTCAACTCCTAGTCTTAGAATTCCTCATTCTCTCCCTCTTTCTGTTCTGCAACTTGTTACTCATGATTCAAATGTTACACACAATAACATATGTGAGAAATACTCCAGCTGAGCAGAAAAAGGGATTTTTGTGTCAAACCAACACACAGGGGGACTGATACGAAATGTCAGATTAAATCTCTGCTTTAGTCTGAAGGAAAGACTCCTAATTCCTCTCAGATCAAGTGCTGGTTGGCCTTACTCCCAGATACTCCTTACTCTTATTCTCTGTATCTGTGCCCTGCTCATGTAGGACTGATTACAGCTTCTCTGGAGCTTTGTGTTGCCTTGATTACAAGCAGTGATTATCGTTGCTGCCAGCTAGGAGGAGCTAGGCAGAAAGTTTGCAGGCTTGGATTTAACTGGAGGACTGAACTCCATCACACTGTTTAGTTGTTATTCCTCCTGTGGTAAAAATAATTGGGAAAATAAACCTTCCCTCTTCCCCGGGCAGAGGTAGCACGGAATGCAGTGCAAAACAGAAATTACAACTTACCAACCGGTAATCCTGTATAAATGTCAATGAAGAAGCCAGGCCTTTGACTTCCACAGAGTGTGGAGAATTCATCTGCAACCGGAAAACAAAGCGGCAATTATAGCACTTGGAATTAATCAACAGTCAAAAGCTCATTACATCCTTTGTCCCATAAAAGTATTCTTCTACTCTTCCAGCACCTGCAGGGCACAGGGAGGTCTGCAGAGCCTTCCACGAGGCTCACCATGTGCTTAGTATGTACCTGGGTTCTCTTTCAAAGGCCACTGAAACGAGCAATTTAAAAGATGTAGAGGGCTTGGGATCACATGCTGATTTTGCTTGTATGTGTATCTCTGTGCATTACGGTTTCTGCATACAAGTCCACAACTGACTTCTAAAAATCTGAACTAGAAGTTGGAAGCTTTTTGAGTAAGTGCTTATGAAGTTTGTTCTTGAAGCAAACCACTTCGAACCAGAGTGAGATGTCAACTCCAAAGAGTCTTACCCAGCGTAAAGGAGCTCTGTACACCCACACAATTAGCCCAGAAACTCCTACATCTTACATTTAGCTGCTTGACACAGGTCATTCTCAGGGGAGACCAAGGCACCTCTGTAAACCCACGGCTACCATAAAGGTCTTTTGGGGCAATCAGCAGTCAGGGCACAGCACAACAGACACCATATTTGTTGGAGCAATGTCAATGAAACCTGGGTCAGTGCCTCGACACTGGTTCAACAAGCAAAAAGACAGCTCTATATTAATGAATACAGAGCACAAAGCCTCCCAGACAGGGAAACTGCCACGGAGGAAGCACGGCCCAGCAGCATGAACACAAACCACTCCACATACGCCTTCATCGTGACCAGGACTGATCACCTCCGGGTCAAGAAAGTAACTAACCCCTTCATTTTAGACACACAAGAACAGACAAAGACATAACATCTCTAACAATGCTACATCCACTAAAGGTAATTATGACATTACCAAGGCTTTCAAATAGATTTGCAATGCAAAAACATACCAGTGCTCGGGATAGGACACTGTTCACAGGGCCTGTTCCATGCACGTCCGATGTTGTAGGAACAGCAGCACATTTTCTTGGTCATATTGAAGGGCAGCTCACCATCACAGGTTTGGTTGTCAGCATAGTAATTTCTGTAACACAGACTTCTTCTCATATCTGTGAAAATGAAGACAAACCCAGAGCAATGCATTAGCAATTCTTAGGGAATATGATTTACCTGAAGGGCTTAGGAGATACCTCCATGAAATATGTACTTTTTAGGCTGCTGCCAAGTAGATGCTGCAGCCCTGCAGAACATTACAGACAGCTTGTCCCTAGAAGGTTATTTTAACAGCATGACAACATGTTTGTGATACAAATCCTCAATAGCAATCAACACGGCTGTAACACCAATCAGACTCATCAAAGGATTCAATATTGGCCTTTTGCCCAACACTGAGGAACCTAAGCTTGTTTACAGTTCCCTCTAAGAACTGTACACAGCTTTTGACTTCATTCTGTGACCTCTGAGTGATTTCAGTAGTGTTTCACATATAGAAGCTAAAGTGAAACTTGGAAGGGATGAACGCAGAAAACAGCAAATTCTGATGAGGTACTGAAAGATCTGTATTAAAAGTGATCTGCTTTGCTTTATTAAATAAAACTAATGAAAGAAGCTAGATCATTCATTTAGTTAAATCTTGTATAACTAAATTCAGAGAAACAGTTCTGATTTGTGCCAGGTGAAGCCCTGTCCCAAAGCACTAAGATAAAGCCTTAAAAAACCCCAGACAACACATACCCATGCAGTTGTTTCCTCCATTGACCTGCATGTAGTCAGGAGGACAGATGCAGGTGTAGTTGCCAACAGTATTGTAACATGTACCAGGTCCACAAATGCCAGGCGTATCACACTCATTCACATCTAGAAGAGAACAAAGAGGCTATGAGTGGTCACAGAAGTCCCAGTAATGCCTCAGGTCGGAAGGTACTGGTGGGGGAGAGCTAAAGGGGTTTTGAGCGAGGTCATGGTGGAGCGAAGCCCACACAGAGAAGGAAGTGGTGGCACAGGTGGCCATGGAAAGCCTGGCTGCAATGTGAGGAGGGGAACTCTGAGATGTCTAAGCAGCTCAGAGACAGCATTGCAGTTGTTGCACAAAAATGGTGTTTGAGGATCTCATCCATTCTGGATTCCCAGATCCGGACAAGGATGCAAGCTGTTCCCTGTGGAGCGCCCATCTAGGTAATGATGCTGAAACAGCCTGACTGGATGGTTCAGGTCTGTCTGCTGCAAAGCGAGGAACCTTCCCAACACAAGAGTTCATGTTTACTTCATCAAGAGACTTTAACTTTAAGCAACCTTCCCAACACAAGATGTCATGTTTACTTCATCAAGAGACTTTAACTTTTGTTTAAAAAAGCCCAACCAAGCCCAAATACAACGCTGCCCCCAAACACTTCAGTGCATAGAAGTTCAAAAGTATTTCAGTAGCCCTACCATTTTAAACTATCTTTGACACACCACTAAGGCTCAACTGGACACTGAGATCAGCAGAAGAGAAAATAAGCAGTGGAAAAAGACACGGACACACCGTAACCAAGCCAGCAGACTCACGGGGCACGTTTGCTCTTTATCCGACTGCTTACTCATCATCCATTACCGAACAGCTATTTTCTATAGCTGGTTAGCAGATCATGCTCTAGCTGAAAAATTATTGGGTTTTCTGGTTTTGATAAAAATCTGATAGTTTACAACAAAAATCTGCATATATTTCAACATGGTCAGGAAGGAATTTTCTGTCTCTCAGTGCAAGACTTCGACTTGTTCCAATTTTCCCACCCTGAAGCTTCACACTGCTTGGTCTGGTTATGTTCCTTTTCAAGGACAGATTAATTAACGACCGATGTGTCACCATTTTACAAGAACAGAAGCAGAAGGCCACATACCATCGCACACTCGAGTCTCTTCGTTCAAGTAGTACCCTGACGGACACTGACACTGGAAGCTACCAAACGTATTGATACACTTTCCTCCTTGGCAAAGTCCAGGTAGTTCTTGGCATTCATCAATATCTGTTCAGACAAAACCACAAACATTTCATTCACGCTTTTCCATGAAGATCAACACTCACTGAAGAGTTTCGTGATTTTAGATCTGTAAATATAGGAAAATGCAAACATTACCCTCCAATATAACTGTAATAGGGTTTGGTCGGAATCCTTCCCCTCCAGGACAAAGAACTTTATATTCAGCTGAAAACAAAACAGATCGATGAACTTAAAACAGTAGAAACTTTTTCCAGTACGATTATTTTTGAAAATAAATTGAATTATTACAGGTAATTTAAATGTAAAGCAACAAAGTAACCAGATGCAAACATTAGGTTGTATTCCGTAACATCAACTGCTATTCCATGTCATAATGTAGCTTTTTGTGTAACAGAAAACTTGCTCAGAAGTGGTAATAATGTTCTGACTAAATAATCTTTTCGAAGGACTAGTGAAGTTCCAGGTTGAGACAGGTGGAAACCTGTCCCTTGCACGCACACATTAAATGATTACACCACTACTTCAGTTACTTGGCTAAACTAGAAAAAAAATAAATCAACAAACACGTCGTATTGTTGTGTTTAACCCAGAAAGCTGACTTACTTGTGTTCACAAGTGGGCAATGTTCGCAGGGGACTCCCCAGGCTTTGCCCAGAGAGCAGCAACAAGAGGCCTTGGAAACACCCACTCCAATCTCATTGCTGCAGAAGGTGCCACCGTTATCGCCACGAGTTTTAATGTCCAGGTAACAGTTGCCAGACCGTGTATCTGTTCAGAATGCACACAACGACAAACACATCTCACGAGAGAGGGAAATACAACACATCACCTCAGGATGAGGGACACCTTCAGATGGCTCTCGTTTCTTGTAGGACAACCAAAGAAACTTCTATTGTCCCAGAGGCCCAGCTTTTCCCACTTAGATAGGACAGTAGTGCCCCATCCCTTGGCTTCGTTGGACTTCTCACAAAGCAGGGAATTGATTTAGCATGACCGAGGGCAGTTCAGACAGTCCTCTTCTCATTTTGATTCGCATTTTCAACCACATTTGTACATCATTCTGGTTCCAGAAGCCCACTACTTTCTCCTCTCATTGAGGATAATAAGCATGAAAGCACCTACTAAACGCTAGGAATTTCAAACACATCTGAAAATTAGGAGCCCTCTTAAACAAATGCCAAAAAATATCAGAGGATAAAAGCAGGTGGAGCCTTTCCAGCATTTCCAAGAGGATTTCCACTGGTGAGCTCAGTGCTCCAAGAGCACGGGGGGCTTTATGCCACAACCTCATTCGCCTGCCATCTTGGTGACAGCTGGATGTTGGTTTAAGCTTGCTGAAATTTAACACTGCCTTGTGTCTGCTGTAAATTGGGGACAGCTGTAACAAGCTCCAAGCAGTTGGTTCTGGCAGCCAGGCACTGCTGGCTGGGTACATCGCTCTGGACATAATCCCGCTGCACTATTACAGCTTCTAAGCCAGGGGCAGTGGGGTGGGAGTTGGAGAGCTGCTTCCAGCCCTCTTCCATGAGCTGGGACTTTATTTCTAAGCAGTCAGCCCCGCAGCCCGTCTGTGCAACTGCACTTGTAAATAAGGAGTGGTCTCTTACCAACGCATCCAACTCGGGTGGGATTCAGCTCAAAATCCGGAGGGCACTCACAGGTGTAGCTACCAGCAGTGTTGACACATGTGCCGCTAATGCAGGTTGTGGGATCTGCACATTCATTAACATCTACAGGAAAAAAACCAGTATGTGGTAAGCAAATACTTGAGGACAGTGCAAACCATTGGATCAGGTATCATAGGCTGACCACCACGAAGCCATTAGTTGTGAGATAAAAGAAATAATATATACACATTTTAGAACAAAAGTAGTCTGAGAGAAATTCATCATTTCATGGAGGACGAGGGTTAGAAAAAAAAAGTGTTCTTCCCAGAAAAGCAATGTATGAACTAAAATTCACATAAAGTACTAGAAAAATACTTTAGGGGAAAATACATGACAAGGCCATCACCATCCAGAACCGTGAATAGAAACTACAAAGCACAACACACCTCTGCCTGAAAGACATGGTCAGACAGAAGGGTTCTCTCTGCTCTGCTGTTTCCCCTTCTTCTCTTAAGCCAATGGGATATCTGAGATCGACGAATTGGGGGAAAGAGGAATGTAGAACAGGCAAGGAGGAGAGCCCCCCGTTATCCAGTGGGAAGTCCGTGTTTCTGGGCAGGAACAACCCCAGGTTCCAGT